TTTTTTTTTTTTGGTTCTTCATTGTATGCTGGATTCTTGGCATGCACCAGGTACATTCAGTTGGATATATACTTTCCAAGATGTCATATTTATTCTGCAGAGGTCTTTGTTTTAAAACATTGCTCAAGATAACGTTTTATGTAGATGTGAGTGACGCTTCGTGAACCACTGGATATGCAGTTTTCTTGTCCAGTTGATTCATACATGCTGCAGAGTTCAGTTGGGGTGTTTGGCTTCCATCCAGCCTATTGCTAAATAAAATAGGCTGTATGATGAGTACTTAAGTGGTAGCTTGACATTCAAATTTGGAATTTATTTATTTTTTAAATATACTACTGAATAAGATGCATCTTCCTCACTTATCACTTGCGTGTGACTGGTTGCCCCTTTTGCTACATGTACCTAAGGTTGACAACCCACCCATGTCACATACCAAAGCATGTAATTTGGTGTTTGTTTTGCTCCCACAGGTTTTCTTGTGTTATTTTAGTATTATTTGTATACTATTATTGTATATATGAATACTTTGAATTAGCTTGTATTTTTTTATTATTTGAGTTTTAAGTGTTTATATACTATTTATTTTTTATTTTTTATATATATATTTTGAATGAGATTTGTTTATATTTTTGAGTTTTGATTTAGTATTTAGAAACTTATCATACTATTTTGAATTAGCTTCTATTTTTATGTTTTAATTTTAGTCTTATACTATTATAGTGTTTATCAATTTTTCGAATTAGCTTTTATTTTTCTATTTTCAGTTTTCAGTCTAATTTTAATTCAGGTTATAGTTTTGTTTTTTGTGTATTTGTCATTTTTGTTTTTACACACTTCTGCTATATTTTTTAGTTTGAGTAATTTTAGTATTTCAGTTTTTTTCCCCATCTAATGTTTAACTTTATGTATTTTTTTTTTAATTTAATCTTTTTCTACTATCAGCAATGATTTTAATAGTCTGTTAATAACAACACTGGTTTTCTTTAGCATGTGTTTGTACTAGTAACATAGCTACCGTTTTTTTTTTTGTTGTTTTTTAAATCACTTTTTCCACATTTCACCAATCCCAGTCTGCAGGATCTGACGTTGTATAACCCAGAGCGCACCATCACTGTAAAGGGCACATTAGAGGCTTGTGCAAAAGCAGAAGAAGAAATCATGAAGAAAATCCGTGAGTCCTACGAGAACGATGTAGCTGCTATGCATGTAAGCCTGCAATGACTTTCCATTTTTGTCTAAAATTGTATACAGCACAACAACTTCATCTCAAGAAAAAAATCTCTGCCCTCTTATTCCCCTAGCTACAGTCTAACCTGATTCCAGGGCTCAATCTGAACGCGTTGGGTATTTTTCCCGGTGCAGCGAGTGGAGGGATGTCACCCTCTGTTCTATCAGGACCTCCAGCTGGGGCTCAATCATTTGGGGTAACACAATTGGATAAAATTGTTTGTGTGTGAGGTGTTTGTGTTTGGTGTACACTTATGAGAGTAGGGAGCGTATTAATATATGCAACGGCAAAATGTGAGCCGGGCACCTACAAGTCTGTGTGTGTGAGTGTTAATGTGTGTGTTTATCCCGTAGTGCAGCGTGTTTGGGGGTGAGGTGCCATTTTGGGCCTCTACACTCTCCTCCAGCTGCAGCACAGCCTTTTCTGTAAGTTTTTATTTATTACCCACCATGCACTGCATGGCTTGGCTGCTTGCTACTGGATTGGCTGAAGGGACAAACGTTTGTTCCCAGATTAGTCGCTGCCCAGGGGGTGTGGCTCAGCCTCCACAGCTAACAGAGATGCTGAAATGCTCCGGATCTGATGTTTAACACGTAACATGTATGGTTGTAGACCTAAAGTGCTTTGTGTGTGTGTTAGTGGATAGGAATGAACATTGTCAAGTTTGCAGTTAGATGGGACGGGCATGAAATAACATGGGAGTTAGACTAACCCATAAACTAGGATGAAATGCACAGGTGTGTGTCGTTGTGTCTATATTGACTTGATTTATTTTTCAAATTGTCGTAGAGACCTATCTGAATAGTTCTCAAGTTGAATATTTACTTAATCTACATTTGTGGATTTATATCACATAAATACAAAAGCCCTTAAAATAGTTGTTTGATTAAATTGTAAATGTAAAATTTTTTTATATATATATTATTTGGAAATAATTTAAAAGAAATTGTTTAAAATGGTCTTTTATGACCATTTACATCCACTGAGTCTTAAAAATAAAAAGCCTTTCTAATTTGCATACAGCAGCATTTTGTTTTATTTTATTATTTTAATTGGTGATTTTATTTTTAATTTGTCAAATACCCACATCTGATGTTAAACCCATACTGAATTTATACATTTCCAAAACGTGGTAAATGGAATGAATGTATCCATAAATTATATGAAGTGACTCTAGTTATAAAGCAAATATCTAATCATTGGTTTTATGTTGAAAATAAAAATGACCAAACTCCATATAGAAGTTGTAGAATTGAACACACAAGACTTGCTTCATTGAAAGAAGAATCGCCTTTGTGATTTTTTTTCAAGTCTTCATTGACTATAAAACATTTTATTAGATTGTCCTGCTTTAAATGATACTAGGAGACGTTTAAAGTGCATTAATGGACATTTTAAAGTTTCTCCTGAGAAGATATTAGAAGTATCAAATATCAGTTGTATATTTATTTTAGTAAAATGTTCAAATGAATGTATACAATTCATTGAAAGTATTGTTAGGTATTTTATTTTAAATATTATTTTTGTGTTGCATATGGTGAAAAATGAACTTATCTGTGACATGAAAAATTATTTAAGATCAGTTAAAATTAGACTTTATTTTAAAAAATATTGTAGCATAGGGGGAATTATAACTGGGTGAGCTGATTGTCTGTTTGTTGAATAGGCAGCGTGTTAATATATCATGTTCATTACGTCAGGGTCATGTCCGAATGAGCCGTTTTTGCAGCTTACTTTGAATAAATGGTGCTTTTGGTGTGGGATGGATGAATTCCGAACCTGGCAATATATTTTCCAAGCAGAGTGAATTCAAAAGATTAAATCTTGATTCCTCATGTTGTGACCTCTGTTGAGTGGATAGTTGATTTGTTACTTGTTTGTTCGAGTAGTTAGTTGACTGAGTGAATGTTTTCCCAGGATGTCTTGTGGCATATTCTCTGGATGTGTCTCCATAAAAGCAGATTTATTTAGTGTTAAATGTGTGCTCATAACTCATGAGTGTATTTGTGTCAGCAGCCACAGGTGGAGTCGGAAACCGTGCACCTCTTCATTCCTGCTCTGGCAGTTGGTGCTATTATCGGCAAGCAGGGCCAGCACATTAAACAGCTCAGCCGCTTTGCTGGTGCATCAATCAAAGTGAGTGATGGCAAGAATGACCTTTTACCCTCATCCTAAAACGGTTTGTTAAACGTAATAGTTATAATTTTTCTATTTTGCTATGCTGTAGCAGTATTAAAGTTTAAAATCTGTCATTATGGATAGATTGCACCTGCTGATGAAATTGACACCAAGCAAAGAATGGTCATTATTACTGGACCACCAGAGGCACAGTTCAAGGTAAAAATGTTTTACACATTGTACACTCATTTGATTGCATATTCATGCGTTGATTTTCTGTGCTGCTTTTTTCAGGCTCAGGGACGTATCTTCGGGAAGTTAAAAGAGGAAAACTTCTTTGGTCCGAAGGAGGAGGTTAAATTAGAGGCTCACATAAAAGTGCCATCATTCGCCGCTGGCAGAGTCATTGGCAAAGGAGGCAAAACGGTAAGTGGCCACTTTACATTTCTAATACAAATTTTCAGTGCTCATGTTTGCTTTACAGATACATTTAACCCCCCAACATTACATGTTTGTAGCTGATCTGTGTTTCTCTTTAGGTGAATGAACTACAGAACTTGACCAGTGCAGAGGTGGTTGTCCCGCGGGACCAGACGCCTGATGAAAATGACCAAGTAGTAGTAAAAATCACAGGCCACTTCTATGCAAGCCAGGTGATTGAGCTACTAGAACTGCAGAATGGGGTTAAAAGGTGTCATTTTTCTGATGTTAAAACACTTTCTCTGATCCCAGCTTGATGGCAAAGACAACTAATCATAAGTAATCCGTAAGTTTGTAAGTGTTGTCATGCCAAACTTTTGATGTGGAGCTCACAATGAGTGTGACTTTTTATAATAATGATAATAAATGATGAATAAATAATAATAATGATAATAATGAATTATAAATACATTTAATGAAATGTGTTTTTTGAAATGTAAATGATAATTTAGATGTTTTAATTGATAAGTTTATTGAAATCTATTTATATATTTATTTTGATGGTCATAGTAATGCAATTGAAATACATTTGTTGAAATGTATTTATTGAATGTATATAATAATGTATTTAAATTATTTAATCATGTATTTAGTAGTTATAATTTATTTTTATTTTATTATTATTATTAATTTGAATATTAAAGTACTTTAGTTATTATTATAATTATTATTATAGTACTTTAGTCAAGTTTTCCCCCCCCCAGTGTAATGTTAAGTAATTTAGCCGCCCCTTCACTGAGCCTTACATACAGCTTTGTCCAGTATTCAATCATCTGAAAATGTTCAACTTTGTCTCCATTTATTGCTGAAGTGCTTTGGTATTATGTTATTTTGCTGTTTGATTTGAGTATTTCAACCCCTTTGTTGTTTTCTTTCATGTGTCCCAGCTGGCCCAGAGGAAGATCCAGGAGATTATCTCTCAGGTGAGGCGGCAGCAGCAGCCCAAGCCCTCGGCCACAGGTCCACCAGTCGCCCGGAGGAAATAGAGCCACTGCGTCTTCTCGGTGACACAGGGTGGGGTTTAAGGTCTTTGGCTTGAGATGGAAAGAGGATTGTTGACGTATGCTGTCCCGGGATCCAGTGGCATTTTATAAATTCTGATGCATTTTATAGATTAATAGATATATACATATATAAAATTATGAAAGAAGGTGGAGCAACACTGCCACTTATGACTGAGGGGAAGTGTTGATTGGTGTTGGCCAGGAAACCAAGTTAATATGCATTTTACTGATCTACCTCAGGCAAGAGTACCTCAGAAAAAAAGAAAATGATATATGAAAAAATGTTCTGTTCTTTTTTTTTTTTTTTGCTTTTTGGGATTTTTTATACTTTATAAAGCTAATAGTTCTTGAACATTTTTATTTTTTTAAGAAAATGAAAATTGAGTCTGTAGTTAACGGATGAATCTCGAACTCCGCCTTGCTCTGTTTGCCGCGCGCCATGAATAACTGTATATAGGTTTGCGTGGGTAATAGGCTGGAGTTTGAGCTTCTGTGTTCGCTACAGATAGGAGAAAGAAAAGAAAAGCGCCTCAGTGTCGCTGAGGAGCCACCACCCTCTAGGTAATGAGAAATAACGCCAACCGTACATACCGCAGCAATGCTGTGCTAATATGCTAATAACTGTATCGGCGGTAGCAGACGTTTCACCCGCATTTCATTACACTTCAGTTAGGGTTGGATGCAAGCAATAGAGGTCAGGGATAAGCAAGGCCCTGCTGTAACCTCTTTGACACCCCCTCATCCTCAGTGCGACTAGTTGTCTATCAAATTAAAATAACGACCAGCCCAATTTGAGGTTGTTTGTTCTTTTCCCGTGTTCATCGTTTTTTCTCCCTTTCCTTTTTCAAATAATGCGCTCCGTTTGGTCTTGGAACGGGCGCTTTTTTGGTTTTGTTTTTGCATCAAACTGGGCTTTACATGCCGAAGATTTTCAGTGTTTAACGTCAGTCAATGCATGTCAGGGGTTCGGGGAGTTCAACTGTTCTGATGCTTTTGCGTTGATAGCTATAGGTTACATTAGTCGAGGGCGCGTCTCGAGCAGTAACGTAGAGATGGACGCGCGAATGGTTTCATTTATAGCTTTCGTTTATCATTCAAAGTGAAAAAAGCAAAAAAAAATATATATGAACTTTAGCAAATAAAAAACGTTTAGTAAAGAAACCAATATTCCTTTTTGTTTTCATGCAGAATGTTAATATGATTTGATTGTGGTAAGAGTGCATCCATGCTTCCACACTAGTAAGACCATTGTCTACCTCAGCTGAGGAAAGGGTGGGTGGTGGGAATACTTCCATCTTACCCGAGACCTCCAGCGCGCGCAGCGATACCTCAAGTCCCTCGCGAACACTTCCGCACTGGGTACGCGCGTGGCGCCGAGCGCTGACCAGAGGGGCACAAGTGATCGTTTTTTTTTTTTCTCCCACCCTTCTCTTAACTTAAACCGTTTTTGATCTACCTCTTATTAGAAAAGTATTTAAATTAGAGGCATATTGCTATGTGTTAGAATCTATGGGGTCATGTTCCATCTGCCCCTTTTCTCACAGAAAAAAAAAATATCATTTAAAAAAAAAAAAAAATTTTAAATCATGTATGGCTAGACTTTAAAGATGAGTAAGAAAATTATTTCGTTTTTTGCCAGCAATTTATTCTCCGCTAACTGATTTGAAACCTCACCTGCTTTTTTCTTTCTGCTTCTTGGTTTGGTGATGTGGCTTCCTTGTATTGGGCTTTATTTCTTGCATACATATTGTGTTTATTTGGGATCTGATTAATGATGGCTATAGAAAATTTTTTCAAGGGCCTGCTTCATTTCTTGCTTATGAAATATGAACAATGAAGTCTTTATTATGTTACTTTTTTCATGTCTTATGGATGCTACAGTTTTTGTTTTGTTTTTGACTGGGATCTGTTCCAATTTCATGGCTGTGTTGTGTGGTGAGTCATGTTTCAGTGGGAATGTGATGTGGAAATCCGGGAGCTGGAATAGTTCCGGGGTAAAAAGTGGTCTGATTTCAGCATGATAAGCAACATCCCCTCCGACCGTGCTTGTGCGCCCTCACACACCTCCACTTGTCAAATGCCTCTGATACAAAGAAAATAATTAAAAGTCAAGTTGGCTCCTAGTTACCATTGTTTGAGATTCCTTGGGTGTTCTTTGTGTCCATATTTGTTGAATGTTTTTACAGTTACTGTTTTTAAATTATTTATTTATTTTTGTGTGTATTTAAGCGTGTTGATTTGTCAACTGGAAGGTTGTTCCCTCCCTCCCATCCCCAAATATTAGTTTCATTTCAATGTCAGTTCAAATACCATACACTCTTAAAAAATAAAGGTCTTTATTGGCACCTATGATTTGAAGGACCATTGTAACTCTCCATTGCTCAAAATATTGTTTATAGTGGAGAAAAAAGGGTTCATTAGATAAAAAAAAAAAAATTCACACTAAGAAGAAATGGTTCTTTTTGTACTTTGGGTAACCAAACCTACTTTTTCTGTGGCATCACTGTGCACAAAAAATGGAGCCTTTATTTTTAATTGTACTAAGATTTAGAAAATGACAAAAGTTGTGTAGATCATTAGCAAGTGGTTTAGAAATTTTATTAGAATATTTTTGTATATTTAGCACTTACAGAAGTGGATACATTTTTTAAATCATAAGAAGTGATAAATATTTTTGAAAATTGCGGTCAGATGTTAATTTTAAATACATAAGCATATACCTGCATGTATATGTGATCAGTAACAAATTTCCCACGTTGCTTAATTCATGCTTTATAAAAGGAACTTTTAGGAAAGGAAGTGATTTCTTATGAAACAACAGCTTAATTACCATCAAACTCGTATTTTTCTTTTAAAAAATGCATCAGATTCAGTCCCCAGATATTTAAAATGTTTAACTATGTTCAAAACAATGTATAACTTCTCAGAACATTACAAAACATACAACTCACTCGATTTTCTAATCCTGTCTGCAAATCAAGAAACATTCCATATAAACATGTCAAATGAAATGCCACGAAGCATCATTAGAAAAATGGGCAAAAGCAATAATTTTCAGCTTTAAATCCCAATTAATATTTTAGTGGTTTTGGTTTGGGGAAAAAACAAATTATGACTTGCGCATGGGACACATTTGGTCAGTTAGTAGTTGTTTTAGTCATTTTAGATGATGCAACCCCTGTAAATCTGGCCTATCTGGGCTCATTCATCCCAAATCGTCCATTAAAAATCTTTAAAGCTTGCATGTGCTATAACTAAAATGCTATGATTACTTATTCTAGCTAAATTGATGAGAAGATAACCAATGTTATCTAATCTTGTTAAAAGTAGGCACCTATGAGATCACTTCTGTTATTCTCTCAGATAAACTACAGCCAAACTCATATCGAATAAATAGCAACTGATTGCTGCAACAACTTCGATCAGTCTATAGTGGCCTCTCTCAATAAATGGCTTCTCTCCTCATCAGCAGAGAACAGAGCTGCTCTTAGTTTACTCCAGTTACCAGCATTTCTCTCAGCATCATCCAACAGAGAGCGTCTCACCGGACGATACACCTTATATCGCCTGAAAGGAATAAAAAACACAAATAAGTAATTAAGATAAAGTTGCGTACCGTTATGTTTTTAAAAATATCAGTTTGGTTAGTGGTACTCACTTGTAAACCATGACGGCAATGAATGCAAAGATGGAAACAAGCACAACGCTGGAAGACAGAACCACCTCAGCTACATGGGAGGATTTAGGAGAGTCTAAGAGAAAGCAAGCGACAAAAATGGAAATATTCAGTAGTCAATTATAATGTTTATAATTATAGAAATTAAGACCAAAAATGGGGGGGGAAAATTAGGCACTACTAACACTAGCAGTGTTACTAATTATTTATTTTAAAATTGAAATAAAGCTGATATAAAATATAAATATTAGATGATAACCTTAACAAAAAAACTAAAATTATACATGTTGCTTAGACAACCGACTGAAATAAAATGATTAAAGTATTAAAAATGCTAAACTGAAATAAAAAATAAAGCTAAATAGAAATGTTTAAAAACAAACTAATACAAATGATGAAAGCACATAAAACTTAGTAAAATTACTAAAACAATAAACTTTAAGCAAATTATAAAATAAAAGCTGATTCAAAATATTAAAAATAAACAATACTGAAGTAAAACTAAAATAAAATTACGTATAAACATTAGATGAAAAAACCTTAATAAAAACAAACTTATTAAAAATGAACTAAAATAAAGCTAAACCGAAATGTTTTAAAAACAAACTATTAAAAATGACAATAGCACTAAAACATACTAAAAATTACTAAAATTAAAAATAAAGCAAATTCTAAAACTAAAAGCCAATTCAAAACATGAATAAATACTATAATAGTAAAAAATACTGAAATAAAGCTAAAATAAAATAAAATATAAGCATTAGATAGGCCTAAAAAAAATTTTACTTAAACTTGAAAAAACGTATTTAAAATGACTAAAACCGAAATGAAAACGCTAAATAGAAATGAAAAAAACCTATAAAGATTACAAACGCACTGAATGACTAAAACTTGAAGCAAATTATAAAAATCAAAGCTGATTTAAAACATGAACAAATACTATAATAGTATAAATAATACTAAAAAATAACACTGCTGTGTGATGCTTCTTCAAAACTATATATTAGTTAAATGTTATAAAAATACAAATAAATAATAAATATATAGACAAAATGAACTAATGCTCAAGACTGACTTGTGTCAGGGCTGTTGCCAATTGTAACTGAGGTAGTGGTGGCAAGAGCCAAGCCTCCAGGCAGACCCAATGTGATGTTAACACAGTAATTGCCCGGCGTTTGGAAAATGCGCGTCAAACTGATCTTGCATCCTTCGCCGTAAGGAGCCACGTCCTCGCACACGATATTCTTGACCTCCCGACAGGTGGAGTTGGTCACTATGGTGCAGGCCACTGAGGGAACACTGAGAAAAAGAGAGATTGAATGT